ATAGATGGACAGATGGAACAATAGAAGACAGACATGATAATTACACTATTTGTCCCTGCCATATTCATGGTGGAGCCTAAATATAAATTACAAAACAATTTACTTAGGATTACGCACTTTAACAGAATTTATTTGCAATTTTATGAAAATGTGCAATAGCATTTAATTATATGGTATCTAGGAAAATGGTGGTTCATTATCTCGATATCTGTTTCATAACTACCGGTACCAGGTATTAAACCACTGGGATTACATAAAATATTTATGACCATTTTATGATAAATATACATTTTTTTCTTATTAATCTTATGAAGTGTGTAAGCTCTATGTTTTCACACTTTAAATGATAAGCAGACCACTTTTCCTGAAGTCTATATCCCTCGATAGTTCTCTTCACTACTTGTCTTCCAAAAACCTTACTAAACACTATCAACAACATTGTGGAAACCTGAGCATTTACAGGTGATGATAAATACAAAAAGTGATTTGTTTAAAATAAATGTGAGGACTTGACGCTTGCTGCACTCTCAGTTATTCTATAAGGTAAAATGATTGATGCATATTTCAGAGCTGGTCATAACTACATAGTTTTGATACCAAGGTATCCATGAAGACCCTTGGCATTTAAGAACAACTCAGGAAAAAAACTTACCACAATCAAGTGTCTTTAATACATGTTATCTATTACTTCCTAAGTTTCAAATACAGTTCAATGGAATTGTCATGTTTGATGTCAAGATAATCAATTTAAATAAAAGCCTGTGCAGATGCATGCGGTCTTTTTTTTTTTTCATCACATATATATCACTGATATCAGTGCAGGATATAAAATGTCATCTCCATGTATTTAGAGACTTATAGTTGTGTTAAATTTTAACTCAGATTGTATTTAAATTAACATTACTACAAAATGGTAGGAAATTTTTTTAGTAATCAGTAATCAAAAAAAATATATCACAGGTCCTGTATTTAGTAGAAATAAATATCTTAAGAGTTAATTTTTTTTTTCTCTGATAGAAGGATGGACTTTCCATGTGTGACTGGTAACATTTAATTAAGACTGAATTCTTGTGTTTAAACAAATATAAAGATGTGCCAGTTTACTGAAGTGATCTTGCTTAGGAGACAATGTCCACATTCATAAGGAAGGTATCTCTGTTGACAGATCATACCCTACATTCAGCTAGTTGATCCATAAATCAGCCTGAATAAATGCTAAATGGTTCGGAGTTTCTGTTTAGCAAACACTCCACTTTCCTCAAAAGGTTGAAAGCCCTATACATGAAAGCAAACATCAGCACACCCCAATATTAATTTTCATTTTAAAACATGTGCTGTATCATTTGTAACATGTACAAGTCATGTACTATGTTCAAGACATATGCATGGCATTTGATTTTTTTTTTAGCTGCTAATAATTATATATATAAATATTTCAGGACATGTACTTATTATATTTATCTATATGTCAATATAATCTAAAGTGGGTTCCATACAATGAATCTTCAGAACTCATCTACACACCAGCATCAAATAATGATACAGTCACCACTCAGTGTATCCATACTAAAGAGTATGATTTGCATTTGAAAGTCTCCAATGTCTAATTAAAGCATTGATTAATGTATGACCTCTTTCTCATGTGTATCTACAGCTTTATCAATATATGTGAACAGAACCATGAGAAGGCAAGAGATTGTAAAGCAATGGTGATTAGCAATACTTCCTTGTTAAGAAATTTAAAGATTAATGAAGGTTGTTTGTTCTTTCATAGTGCATTTAATACTGCAATCTTAGAATCACGTCATGTACCTGTGTTTTTCTCTACCAAGGGTATATATTGGTTTAAATCAGTTGTCATGTGTCAAGGTTTGAATCAACGATACAAGGTTTAATAAAAGCTTCCTCTAAGACAAAGCAAGAAAAAAAAGAAAATCAATATAACTTCAACTTTTAGGCTATAGTTATCGTCTTTATAAATACAGGTAACTCTTGATGGCTCGAACTTCGATCTCTCGAAGTTCTTGATCGCTCGAAGTGAGTCTCCGGTCCCGAATTTTCCCCCTATATAACTAAGCAAATTTACTCTTGATTTCTCGAACTCTTGATCTCTCGAAACCCTTGATCCCTCGAAGTCAAAATGCAGTCCCGCTATGCATATTCTATTAGAATTTACCCTCGATACCTCGAAGTGGCTATGTGTATACAAGGTTATATAATTTGCACCTTTAACTGGACATTTAAATGGCCCCAGGCAGAAGATGCGGGTCTCGAGGACCGGGATGTTTATTCGGGTGACACTTATGCTGCAAGGTGATGATTGATTTATAATTAATCCTATTTTGCCTATATGCTATTAAAATAATTATCATCGTCTGTCTTAGGATGATTTAGAGACGCAGTGTCAGTGAAAAGTAGTAATTGATTAAAAGACGGAACACTAATTTAATTTTTATTTTGAGTCAGTGTCAAAGTTAAACGAAATATGAAAAAGCAGAAACAGCCTCAAAGTCAGTATGACGACTATTATTGGACAAATACTTACAGAACTGCGTTCAGTGATCATGTTTGGAATAGTCAATGCAATGTACGACGCTGTAAAATGTCGTTTTCATGTAACGGATGCGTAGTATGATGTCCGTATTACAAAGAATAAATAAATAAATATGAAATGACAATATACATTTTTTGCTTTACTCAGTTTAATGAAATATTCATTTAAATTTCGAGAAAATATCGTTGTTTTTATAAAAACCACGTGTAAAAGGTTAGCACTGCATGAAAATCATTACATTCGGTAAGACTAATTTTAAAACCTGTCAACAAATCCGGAAAATTCCAGACTCTTGACTCTTGAAAACTCGAACTCTTGATCTCTCGAAGTTTTTCCTCGGTCCCGCGGACTTCGAGGTATCGAGAGTTACCTGTATAACACAGTATTTGCAGCTATTTGCTCATTCCTTACCAAAACTATAATCCCAAGAAACTGTATGTTTTGTCATACAAAAATTGTTAAAATTAAGGTACTTTACTGCAAGAAAACTGCTATAAGAAATAATAATATAGAGTGGATCCTTAGAGTTGAACATAAATTCAAATTTCAAAATTTTTAAATTTCTCTTACATTTAAGGTTCTATCAAATTGACTTAAAAGAATTAATTGACATTATACACAGTCACTGTTTCATTAAAATGGAGGTGGGGGATTTTGAACTTGGATACAAACATGTTACAGAACTCTTTAACCAATGTTTGACGGATGTAACAGGACACAAATTCTCTAAATGTTTTCTATTGTTTTAACCATGTTTAATAGAGAGTAATACTAAGTGATTTAGGAGAACTTTGTCCTCAATATTATCTACTATAACAGAACAAAAAATAGCTTGTCTAAAACTGCAGGCAAAATCAATCTGCTTGTTCATACTAAAACCCATATTAAAGCACAATATAACCTGATATAAACTTAAATTTTAAAATTCCTCACACTACGATCAATACTCAAGAAATATGAGCATTTTTGCTATGCATCATCAATTTTTTTGACACAAACTATAAGTGTCATGCAGCAATCAGCCTGAGAACATTCGATAATTATTGAATCACACCACAAAACAATATATTAATCTCATTGAATTAAAGTTCTTTCAGTAGAGTAAGAGAAGAACTTGGTCCACATCTTTCTATTACACATTTACATAATGATAATGGTCACCCCAACAGGTTGCATAATTTACCTGAACTAATATTTAGAAATGCATCTATCAGACTGCCATTTAGGGGCTTGGAAGAAATATTTAAAGGATATTCAATGTTTTGTAGTTGGATATGGAATTTATTTCACGAGTAGGACAGGATTTTTTCAAAATATTTTCAAGAGTGTGTACCAAGAGTGTGAAATAAAAAATAAAAAATTCTGTCTCCAGAGCCAAATAAATTCCATATCCAACTAAAAAATATTGAATTTTCTGCTTAGTACATTTTCTTTGATTTTCCCTTTGCATCTGTCTTTCATAATACATTGGCATAGCTAGGCTGTGACTTTGTAGTTGAGTGGTTGAGATGTCATAGCTTAGCAATTGTGAGATTGAATACATTGTAAACATGGATTTCAGCAACATGTTAAGAGAAACCTGGACAGTTTTAGTTTCTGTCAGGATGCTTTATTTACACTCTCTATATTATAAAGGATAGGGAGTATTTTTTTTACAACATTCTTCATGAAGGGAAGGAAAATTGAGAGTAAATTGCCATGGACATTTCTGATCACTTTGATATATATCCTTTCACACTGTGATAGAATTTCATTTATTCAACAAATAAATTACAGTATTCCACTGTGAAAATGTAATATAACATAGATATTACACAAATAACACACTTGTCCCTTCTCTAAGATTTTACATGGGTTGTGTGTGTGTTTGTGTGTGTGCATTCCTTATGTACATTGATAAATACATAATTATAATATACTTATTTGTAAGTCTCTGTAAAATTCAGAGTTTTGTATAACAGATAAAGTATATGTACATGTATATGTATTTAGCTTTTTGTGGATCCTGAGTTCTATAGACAGATACACAGAAGCAGGGTCCATGTAAATTGTATACCTTGGCCAATCTAAAATCCTAAAACAAACATTTGAAAATAAATCTGAGGTGTGAAGGCCTATTTAATGATGTTTAAATTCCTTCTCTAAATGTCATTTTACTTATTTCCTGATAACTTTTCAATATGGTTGAGATAAATTTTAAAATGGTTTGATTTATATTAAATTTGACCTTGCACTGAAAGATACCATTATTTCTTATATAATTGTGTAATGCTCTAGAACTGTGAACCCCCATTGAAACCTGACTTTGTAAGTAGGAAAACTTTTAAAACATTAAGTCTTCTCTTCCAACAAAGTCTAACAGTGAGATAAAGCATGGAAAATGTGTGACATGGCAGAGAAAGATATAAATTTTCTATGTTGGTTACATAGGCTAAATAATACTTACTAATGACCGGGCTCACATGTGATACATGATGATGAGGTACTACTATAGTACTGTCCAGCAGCACAACTAGTCACACAGTCGGTCGAACAGTTACACTGGGCAGCGGTCAAGTCTGAAAAAACAAAACATCATTCAGTTAATAATTCTAAAAATCTCAATTCTAACATGTCTGAAGTGTTTGATGTTCCAGGTAAGCACTACTATTTTGGAAACAATTGGTTTCGTATATTTTTTTTTTCATAAAAAATGTAAATTTTTTTTCTTTTGTACATGTTCACACAGTAATACACTAATCTTTGTCACTTAAAAAAAATTTCATTCAACATTTACTGTAATATTTGCTCAACTGTAAATCATATTATATCACATCCTCTAATGTCCAGATTTGGATTAAGATCAGTCAGTGGGACTAAATATTCACATTTGACTGCTGAAGTCATATAAAACATTTTTAGATTGCAGTAACAATAAAAAATAGAAAATTTCAATGTCAGTATCTGTTTAAAGTACTCTGATGTTCTGGTAATAAATTTACCACACTCACAAAAATAAAAAGACATACAGTAAAAACATGGTTATAGCAAACAAATTGCTAACAATAAAATTCATGCTTATGGTAAAGTGATTTTCTTTCCCCATAGATTTAAAAAAGTTACGTGTAATATATACTGTTCATTCCTGGTACTTTGCTAGTTTTACTGTACTAATAAATATTTGGGCAATTTGTAGGGATGCACGATTATATCAATATACCAGTACATCATGATTTTTTATTGTTCAATATATTGCGATATGAAGACTAAAATACAGGTACAGATAATTATAAATTCCAGAAAGCATTTTTTCAAACTTTGAATTAAAATTAGCGGAAGTGGGAAAAATGTACATATTATGCATTTGATAGGGCTGGGTATTGGCTGGGAATTTTGTTTTGGGATATCAGGGTTTGACACTAACGGTAGCCTACTGGCTCAGGACAACTGAAAATTGAGGTCAAGCAACTTAAACATGTCTTTAAGCTTGCCCTGCAGGGCTACTGTAATTTTTTAAATATGTCAGATATTTTTCTTTAAATGCGAGGGATATGAAAGTTATAATATGACAAAGCAAAAGCTATTAAAGACTAGCTCAGGTATACAATGGTCATTGTTGATCTTTTTATCATACACTGAAATACATTCAATACAGATGTGTACAAGCATGCATGAGTATGTTCACGTTAAAGAGTAATATTGTAAGACCTGATAATTGTTTAATTTATTTTCATACATGTTTTAACATCAAAATTATTTTTTTTTGTGAGTCAAAATGTACAAGGTGATTCGGAATACCCTAAATGACTGTAAATGTGGAATTTTTCAAATAGAAAAATATCTTAGGTACAGTCATAGCGTGACATATAATTTTACCCAAATTACAACCAGAATGCAGGATTTGGTATCTCTATTTTCAAAATTTTCTGGGGGAAGCCCCCATACCCCCACCAGTAGGAGGGGGAAACACCCTCCCACACCTACCCTCCTCGTCGCTTTGCGACTTGGCAAGCAGCCTTTGGCTGCTGGACAACTAATACATGAACAGGGCTAGTAAAAAATGGAAATTGCTAGCCCTGCTGGCAACTATGGTTTTAAAGTTAGTGTCGATCCCTGGATATACTGCAATATTTTAAACTGTATTGCAATATGTATTGCAATATTTTTAATAACAGTCAAGATGCTCTTTTCTTATTTATTAAACTCCATTTATAATCAGAGTGAATAAAACTACATGACTATTGTGTATCTTATACGTTGTGCAAAAAAAAGTTCTTGTCGACTTCACTTCAGTTTTACAACGAAATTCAACCATACAACAGGAACCTTATTGCTTGGCATGATTGAAAGCATTTCTGGCATCTTAAATTACTTTTATTATGAGAAAACCCAAGCCCAAGCATTTTACCGTTATACCGACCGGTACTGGAAAAACGTATCACAATACGAAATTTTTTGTTAAGGAATCGTAATATACCGGAATATCGATATTTTTGCACAGCCCTAGTATTTGAGAGAGACTTAACTGTTTAAATCATAATAAAAACTCCATGTTTAAATATCACATAATAGTTATACTTTTGAAAAAAAGTCATGATATATCAAGAGACAAAATTTTTGGCAATACCCATCCCTACCAATTGGTTCCAACCTGTATACTCAATTCTCATTATATCATATGGGTTCCATTGTCGGTTTATGGATAGAATTTGATGAAAAATTAAAGTAAGAAATTTTGATAACTTTTTTTTACACAAAATTTAAGAAATAAGTACCAAGATATTATGAGATACCAATATACAACATTATAATTATGATTGTTAGTTACAAAGGTCAGTTTTTTTCATTTCTGTCGAGGATTCATAGTTTTAGCGATTGTAAAAATTTTCCCTGTCCCATCTATAAATTGCCTACATATCTGGCCATAAGTGAGTCATAATTGCATTTTTACTTACTATAACATATTTCACTGAAAAACCAATTATTTTAAAAACTTATTGTGAGGTCAATTTTAGCCCAATTTCCATGATTTTTTCACTGAATCATGCAGATTACTAAACAAGATACACTAATCATTGAGAATAATTTATTAAATCATCAAAATAAATTTTTTTTCCCTCAAATACTATAATTTTTTAACAAATTTGAGTCCTAAAATTTTTTATTCGCATTTGATGTGTTATATCACTGCAATCCCTACAATTTATTCTGAAATGATGTGAAGAAACAGGGTTCGACATTAACCTTAGTCCGTTAGTCTCAGACTAATACATTTTCATTCGGACTAATAAAATCTATGGCTAATTAGTCCGAACGGACTAATTAAAATTTCTGGAAAAAATCAATCAATTACCGATGTTCGATTCTCGACAACTTTCACTGGAAAGAAAACCCCGCATGTATTTTTAGCTTTCTAGCTTCTTGGCGGGAAGTTAGGTAATTCCGAGTCAATTCGGCGCTCAAATTTAGGACTGATTGATATGAAATTAAACATTTTAGTTCATCATGTTTTAGTATGATACATAAAGAAAGATGTTGGACGTTTGGATGTAATGTATAGAGAAAAACAAACGAGATCGGGAATACGATCGTAGTTCCTGATCACGAGATTTCAACGAATCTTGGAATAAAACATTTCACGTAAATGTTTTGTTTATTTCAAAAAAGTATAAAAAGTACATTGCAATTTTTTTTTTTTAAATTAACCGTTACAAAACATTGATGGTTTATTTATTTATTTTTTTGAGGGACTCATAAAATCGCGTGCGGACTAGTAAAAGTAGAGAAGCACTAGTCCGGCCGGACTAAAGCCTAAAAATGTTAGTGTCGAACCCTGAGAAACTACAAAGAATTCTACATTTTATGGTGTTTAATCATAAAAAAATGAGCAATAAATAACACTGCAATAATATTTTAGAAAAATGCATTTTTCAATGAAATATATAGCGGAAAAATAAAATTATGACTCACTTATGGCCAGGCAATGTATATGTTATTTACTCTCTAGATCTCTGGTCTCAATAATTAAATTAATTTAAAAAATTGTTGTTTGAACAACAAAAACCTTACTATTTACAATACAGGGTCGATTTTTGTATAACCGAAATAGTGGGGAAAAATAATTCGTTACATGCACTTACCAAGTTCTAATAACAAAACACACGCAATGTGGAAAATGAAAATTCGTTGTGTGCGAAACCTTCCTTGCATTTCTGAAGGTCTATATACTATTTAAAGCGATCCAGCGCTTAAATTTTCATCACATGCCGACACCGTTTAATGTTCCCTTGCGAAAATTCTTAATGATTCTACATTCCTCTCTCATATGTAATAGAAATCGCGAAAATCTTGTGTAACAAAAATATCCCTGCCTTCTAAGTATTACATGCACACCGAAACTAGCTCTTTCAAACGCTTACTTGATCGAGACTCGGGTATCGCACGATACGATTGGGTGAAAATTTTCTCAGTGACCCGGAAAGCTCAATGTCGCAAGATTTGGCATAATGTAGCTAAGCAACAACAAGCGTTAAGAAATTTTATGACTTGAAGACGTCACTTTCCGGATCAAAATTGTAGATAGGTATTGACAGGGAATTTAATAAGTCGTTATTTACATCGCTTGTGTAATTATTGTTATTGTCAATACGGCACCCCCTAAGGACTAATAGGACGGTTTAAATGTCCAGGCAGTCGACAGCACCATACATGTATTCATGTTTTAGGCCTAATCAACGTTAGAATTTTTCCACATAATTTGGAATTATACCAAAAAATTTGAAATGTACCAACTTAAAACAAAATCACTAAACGAGATCTCGCGCTTCTCTCAGCTTTCTCTTATAGGCATATCTCTTAAAAACAATTTGTCTCTGACTTTTGAAAACATTCATGAATGTATAGGGGGAGGGGAGGGGGGGGGGGGGTCCCAATAATGTTGCCGATATATAGTATACTATGAAAAAACAAAACTACTTTATTTGCTCCCTCAATAATCAAACCTGATGACTTTTATTGGCCCAGGCTCAAGCAGTTTGATTAAAACCATGCACCCCTTCTCTTACACTCGTCAGGAGTGTAAGGAGAAGGGGGGTGGTTTCAATCAGACTGGGGCCCATGTTGTCAAGGCCGAATTTTTGTTCAATGAAGTGCTCCCCATACTGAAAATTTTGGTTGTGCTCCCCCCTTTCAGTGGCTGATTTTACTTTTATTACAGAAAGTGGAAGGGGAGGGGATCAGCGCTTTTCCGGGCCTAGTGAATTTTGCACAAGATATTCTTTTAAAAATACTACCAATTTCAGTGTAGTGAAGATTCAAATTTGTTCAAATTTAGGGTGGGTAGGGTGGGGCCACAGTGAGCGATCAAAGTTTTACATAGGAATTTTTTTAAAATCTTCTGCCCAAGAACAGCATAGCCTCTCTCTGTCTCTCTCCCTTATTAACTTTTCAATACTGTACTGATTTCTGCTTTTTCCTAGCAAATGTGCTCAGGTGAGTGGTGTGGCCCATATCAGCGTGAGGATAATGGAGTTTAAATTTAAGCACCGAGTTTAAGGTGGGAGGGGGGATCCTCTATGTAGCATATTGAAACAGCTACAGCTCTCTCTCTCTCTCTCTCTCTAATTAATTTGAATTTCTAGATTTCTGGTCATCTGTTTTAAATTGGTGTGTGTGTGTGTGTGTGTGTACTGGACAAAAATATTCCGAATCTTTCATAATGAAAGTTTTGAATTAAATATAAAAGTACAGGAACTACAACATCGATTTCTGGTACTTATTTAATTTTATTTTGTTTTTATTTTTCTGGGGGCGGGTAGGTTGGGAGCACTTAGTATCTCCCTTCCCTATAAGTTGCCTTTTTCTATTTGCTTCAAATGATCCGGCTTTTTTTTGTTTTTTGTTTGTTTGTTTTTTTGTTGTTGTTTGTTTGTTTGTTTTTGAGGGGTTTTTTTTTTGTTTTTTTTTTTTTTGTTTTTTTTTTGTTTTTTTAACACCGTGTATCATTGCAACCCATCTACACAAGCGATATGTTACAGCTATAATAATAAATAAACAGTAGTTTTACCTTCCTTGTATACCGGTCCCCATCCCTTTTATAGAAATTTTTACTAATAATGACAAACTTAAATTTAAAAATAAAAATAATTGACTTTGCACTCCAAATATTAAGAAGACGCTTTAACGGAAAAAAGGAAAAATTGACAAAAGTAGAATTTTTGCAGGACACATGCAAATTTTATTCAATTTTTGAAAGTGTTAGGTTTCAGAAAATTACAGGTTTCAGAAACTAAAAAATCTACTTTTATGGAGAAAAATATAAGTAAAAATAATTTTAGTTTGTCCCAACACGAAAATATGCTTCACTTCTTCCTCTTTAAGGTGCGCATGCGCAGAAAAGTTGAAGACGTTACCATGGTGTCAATTCCATAGATATAAATGTCGGATGACCGAGGATTTCGATATAATCTTCAAAAAAGATAATAAGAATTTAATCCTCACTTTTGATTGCCCCAATTCAATGTTGTTTACAAGTTTCACGCTAAAAATAAAAGACACATAACCTTGACATTGACTATAACAACCACGCCATAGATACAAGTTTTCTTTTTCCGGCACTTACATTTTGCAGTCTCTCAAAACTTCGCCTTATTCATATTTCTCACAACTCTTTAGTTTCATGATATAATTATCTTAAAAGAAACACATGGAATTGATTCACTATGTAACTTTAAAAAAAAATTTCTATAGAATTAATGCAGTTTCACTATACAGGCCCGTAGGAAGCAATTTCAGTTTGGGGGGGGGGGGGCACAGCCATACATTTTTCAGTTGACAGTTGAGGGGGCACTACCAAAAATTTCCTGATTTCCTGACAAGCAAAAAAAAAGGTCTTCAGACGTTTTTATTGAGGGGGCACTAGCATATGGTATCTATGTTTACTATGGTTACTATGGTAACCTATATATCGGCAAAATTATTGGGGGGGCCGTGCCCCCCCCCCCCCCGGTTCCTACGGCCGTGCTATAATAATAATAGTATATGATATATGACAAAGCCCGCCCTAAACCAGAACCACTGACCCAGGGACCAAGATATTCACAATTTTGGAAGAGTCGCCCTTGCTCATCATATTTATATACCCCTAGGAGCAGATAAGATTTTCAAAGTGATCATAAAGTGAATCTTTAAAAATCTTCTCTCCCCATGTATATAACGCAGATAAACTAGGTGCATGGTTATGATGATCAAAGGCGCTTCTTACAAAATTGTGAAATGTGTGGCCCCAGGGTGAGGGGTTCTGCGGGGGGGGGGGTCTATTGATTGTATAGTGAAATTGCATTATTTCTTTGAAAAGTAAGAAAACATCTCTTAGCGCTTTTATTATTTATAACATAAGGCTTCTGAACATATAATCAAATGGTTAAAGCTTTAAGGAGAATTTTAGTATTTTCTTCTCTTTTTTTGTGCTAACCTACGAAAGTCTATTAGGAAAAAAAATTGAAGGCGTTTTAATGCAAAATGAGAAGGGATAACAACGCCAAACAAGAGTCTCATGGGCCATAACGCTCACCTGAGTAACTATGGCCCTGCTGTTCTTCATTAGCAGATTTACCTCCATCTATTCCTATATAAAACTTTGATCACATATTGTGGTCCCACAATGTGTTCCCGAGGGTAAACTCTACACAACCTGAAGAAGCTTAAACATGGCACAGTTTTTGAGAAGAAGATCTTTAAAGATTCCTTTGTAAAACTTTGATCACATATTGTGGCCCATCCTATCCCAGGGGGTCATGATTTGCCACTGAACAAATTTGAATATACACTACCTGAGGATACTTTCAAATAAATGTGACTAATCATGGATTTTCTGTTCTTGAGAAAAAAATTTTAAAGATTTTTTTTTCTCTATATTCTCCAAAGGTAAAACTTTGATCCCCTTATGTGGCCCCAACCTTCCCTGGGGGTCATGATGTGAACAAACTTGAATCTACACTACCTGAATATGCTTCCACATTAATTAATATGACCTATCATGACTTTGCTGTTTTTGAGAAAAGATTTTTAGATTTTTTCCCTATACATGTGTATATTCTCATTGTGACCCCACCGAATCTCCGGGGGTCACGGGATGCTTTGTTTTGTGTTGAACATACGAGGGTCGTTCAATAAACAATGCAAAAGGTAATCTAAAAATAGGAAAAGCAGGTAAAGCAGATTCTAAATACTTCTTAATACTTTCAATCCCTCAAAACTTCCCTGTTAACATTTACACATGTTAAAAATCTTTGTACCCATGACCAGAACATCTTTAGGGATGCCCTAAAGACACTGGTGAATAATACTTTCCATGATATACCTGGAATTGTAAAATCTTCCTTTGATTACTTTCATATGTTTTTGGAAGAAAAAGACCTCACAATGGCTAAGATCTAGCTAATATGTTGGATGCCCAAGCTCTGTAAACTTTCCTTTCTTCAAAATTTTATTTATTTCTCTATGCTTTTTTGCAGCAGCGTTTTCAAGTACAGAAAAAAATATTCCGGGACCAGTATTTGGGCTTGCTTTGAAGGAAATCTGCTTAACTTTTTACATAAAAGTTACCATTGATAGTCCTTCCTTTGGCTATATTACATGTTTACTGGAACTCTTGAATAAAAAGAAAATTACATGTAATAAAACATATTTGGAACCCTTGCTTCTCTTTGCAGTAATAGGACGACAGCTTTCTCTTTTATTCCATATTTTATTCTTGATCTTCCTTTTCGGCTATAAAAAGTACACCCATGTTTCGTCATCCATCACTCAAGTTTATCAAATCTTCTTTTTTGTAAAAGTATTTATTTTTAAATTGATCATTGGCACTAAACGTGTGTTTTCTCTTAGGCATTTGTAAAGAAATAAGGCCCTCATCTGACAGAATTATTGTTAGATTTATTTCATTTGTCAGAACTTTATAAACTGTTATGACGATGAAATGTTTCATGTTTTAGCAAAGTCTATCAACGGAAATTTGGTATTTTCAGATATCATGTTGCTCACAGCATCGATATTTTTTGGTGCCCCTACAGATTTCGATATACCAGTTTGACTGCAATCTTTTAACTGTACTTTTTTCTTTTAAATTTCCAAATCCATCTGAAAACTATACAGCGTGAAAGACTAGTCTTTCCACAAATCAAAATTAACTGTACTTTTTTTCTTTTAAATTTGCAAATCCATCTGAAAACTATACAGGGTGAAAGACTAGTCTTTCCACATATCAAAATCATATCTTTAATATGGGTTGTTCAGCTATATATATATAATGAAGCACAGTTTTTATATACGCCCTCATTTTCATCTTCTTGGCAGAGATCATTTTTACACAATTATC